AAAGAAAGAAAGAAAGAAAGAAAGAAAGAAAGAAAGAAAGAAAGAAAAAAAAACGCCCGAGAGATGCCCTCGGAGTTAACTGACTTCACCTCGATCCCGGATTGCCCACCTGGGAGCTCGCGCTCTTTTACCACCAGGACCGCTTCCTTTCCATCGCACCTTTCCGTCCTATCGCACCTGCTGCCTTCCCACGCCCCCCCCCCCCCCCCCGGGGACTGCCCGAGGCGGGGGAGGAGGGGAGGAAGGAGCTCTGCGGACAGGTCCGGACGGGCTAGCTAAGAGGGGTGAAAACAGGCGGTTTGACTGGCCCTTCTCCTTCCCTCCTCTCCCCTCTCCGCCCCTCCCCACTCGTGTCGCCCTCCCGCTCCCGCTCCATCCCACCCACCCCCCCCCTCCGCCTCAGCGCGCCGCGCAGCCAACTAGCCAGCCGGGCAGCTGCGCCTTTCCAGCGGGCGGTGCGCGCGCTGGGCCGAGAGGTGGGGTGCGGGGGGAGGCGGAGGCGGGGAAGAGGGCTTGCCTGTCCGTCCGTCCGTCCGTCCCGTCCCACCCCCGCTCCCGCGCCGCGTCTCTCTCGGGATGGGCTGCCCCGCGCCGGTGCCCGCCGCTGGGGGCGGTGCAGCGGGGTGGGGGGGATGCCAAGGCGGGCTGCCCCCGGCGCTGTGAACATGTGGTGGGGACTGGAGAGGCCGCCGCACGGCTCGGTTGCTGCTGCTGCTGGTGCTGCTGGTGGTGGTGGTGGTGGAGGTGGTGGTGGTACTGCTGCTGCTGCCGGTGGCGGCGGCGGTGACGGAGGCGGCGGCAGGTAGAGCCGTCCTCCTCCGCCCCTCCGCACTCCACCCCGATGTCCCGCGGAGACACCCAGGCGTTGCTTCCAGCTGTCGTCCCCCGTCGGCTTTGCCCGTGGCGGTTGGCAAGAGCCCCTCCATGCACGCGCTCACCCTCCTCTGGCTGGGCAGCGTTGCGAAGGTAAGTGGGGGGGGGTCTCCGCTGCCAGGTTTGGGGGGAAACCAGGGTCTCCCAGTCGTCCCAGGCGAGTAGAGCAAACCCACCTCGGAGTTTTCTCTTTTTTTTTCTTTTCTTTTCTTTTCTTTTCTTTTCTTTTCTTTTCTTTTCTTTTCTTCTTCTTTTCTTTTCTCTTTTCTCCTTCTCCCTCCCTCCCTCCCTCCCTCCCTTTCTTTCCTTCCTTCCTTATTTTATTTTCTTTCTTTTCTCCTTCTCTCCCTCCCCCCGCTCTCCCCTTCCTTCCTTCCTTCCTTCCTTCCTTCCTTCCTTCCTTCCTTATTTTATTTTCTTTCTTTTCTTCCTCCCTCCCTCCCTCTCTCCCTCCCTCTCTCTTTCTCTTCTTTCTTTCTTTCTTTCTTTCTTTCTTTCTTTCTTTCTTTCTTTCTTTCTTTCTTTCTTTCTTTCTTTCTTTTTCTTTCTGCCTGTTTTTTGTGTGTGTGTGTTTCCCCCCTTTCATTCCTTTTCTCCCCCTTTCTCCCCCCCCCTCTCTCTTTGCAGATTCTCCAGTTGTGCTGCCTCTGTTGCGGCGTTGTGGCGGCAGCGTTACCCGGTGACAGCAGTAGCCTCGGCGCCTTCAACCAGGGTTGGTATTTTTCTTGAGCTTCCCACGTTTCGAACGGGCATCCTCTTTCTCGTCTTGCTGGGGGCTGAGGTGACAGGACAGCAGCAAAGGATTTGGCTCAGAAGCCTTTAATTTTCAGATGCGTTGGTGGTTCTGTTGGAAGTCGAAGAGTTGGAAGGGACCTTGGAAGTCTTCTAGTCGGACATGTGCCCCCCCTCCCCCCACTAAGTTTCAACCTGACATGATTGAGCCAAGTGGGTTGTGGACAGAGGAGAGCCTTGGTATAGCTCATCTTTAAAAAAATGGGGTTTTCCCAATGCCTTGAAGTGCTGAAATGGAGAAGATCTCCTTCTAGAAGCGCACAGGCTAAACTTTGCAGACCAGGTGTGTTAAAATGTTGCAGTAGTGGCTAGATCTTTGGTGCATTGTTGGATTATGGAGTGTTCCTACCTCAGGTTACATCAGATGCTGAGATGTAGCCAGGGTTGGGAGGCTGGTCTGGTCTGCTGACAGAATCCCTTAATCCCCTTTGTCTTTCCTTCCTGAACCCAAATCTAAAGACATGTAAATGAAAGGACAATGTACTCAAATCTTCACTCCTGCTTGTGTTTCCTTCCTCTGTTGTTAGCACCCTGGGGTGTAAACTCTTCTCTTTATCCTGTCAATTGGAAGAGCACTCATGATACACTTTGAGTAATGCCCCAAAGGTGCTTTTTGTCTTGGAAAGTCCACTTGCCTTTTGAGGGGGAAAAAAGCACATTTGGGACAACAATGAACTGGATGACTCTGAGAATCTCTATAGATGCTCTGAGTAATGAGCATTATTCCTCCTGGGAACCTTTGACAGAGAGCTTCTTAGGAGATGAGGTGTTTGGTCCGTCTCTCTAGATGTTTTACAAATGCAGCTGCTATCCTTTTAATCCTAATGGGGAAATAACCATGAGAACTGCAAATTTGCACCCACACTGCAGATTTACTTTATGTAGCTGTGAACAAAAGTTAGGTGAACTGATATGTGAGAATGCCCTCGGGAGACAAGAGGAAGAACCTCAGACTGGACAACTCTCAAGTAAAATATAGCTGAGCCCACCATAGAGAGGAGACTGGGAAGCAGCTAGTTTTCCAGAGAGTAAAAGGAGAAGACGGGAGAAATACTTTTAGGCTTGCAAGATTGTGTTAATTGATCTTACAGTAAACAAAGAGTTAGCACTCATAGCTGCGCTTCCTGTCTGGACTACCTTGAACAGGTCCGTTTGTTTTCACCATGAGTTTCAAAAATCTGTTTGAAACAAGTGCACTTAATTCTTGATAAACTTTATTTCTGGAGCTTAAGGGGATGGACAAAACACTTCCCCCCTTTTTGGGTGTTTCCTCAACAACAAGCCTTCGAGGTAGACTGGGCTAAGAGAAGACACTGGGCTACTTCTCCAAGAGTAGATTTGAACCCAGGTTTTCCCTAGTCACAATCTGAGATTGCAATTGCCCCATGCTCTTGTATGGAGCAGAGGTTTGGGATATATATTCAACTTATTACAGGAATTATTCAGAAAAAATGTACTTCCGTAGGAACAAGAGGCAGGGGAAAATAATTACAGATCAATACTGGGGCCAGTTCTTTCTCAATCTACCCTCATAACACGAATGTGAAGAAAGAAATACAGAGGAATAACTTCAAAAAAAAAAAAGAGGGAGAAAGAAAATGGTTAATCTCACTAAAAAAAAAAAACGTTGAAGCATAGCACCAGAAGAAAGAATTACTTGAAAATCCAGCATTTCTAACCCTTTGCGCAGGGAATGGGGAGGGGGATGGGAAGCTTGTGAGAAGTCGCACTCTAGGAAAACATGTGTGAACAGGCAAAGAAGGATTCCTAGATTTCAAAGAGAGAGCTGGAGACGGGGAGGCATCATTGATTGAAAGTTCATCTCACATTAAAGAAAGAAAGAAAAAGACAAACAGGGCAGAGGCTTCCAAGCATTTCCACAGAGTGCTGGTTACATTCCAGTGCAGGCTGCAAGCAAGAATGTTTAAAACCGGTAGCATTAGGTACTGCTTGAAGAAATCCTTGCAGGGCTGTGGATCTCAGGAAGAAGTAGGAAATCTTCACTGGGCATGCTAATGAGCCTCGTTTTGTGGCGGAAAGAGCATACATGCTTGTGTGCAGAGTGTTTGCTCTGCAGTGTTGGAGCCTTTGCTCACTGGGGGAATTCCCTTCTCATGCAGCTGCTTGTAGTTTTGGCTACCAGCCTTCCTTAGCATCCTGAAATTCTGATTTAGCGCTGCTGGTGAAAAGTGAGATGCTCTCGACAGAACATTTCCCTTCTCCCTATTGTTGGGGGTGGGTGGTGGGTGGGTGGGGAAGCAAGCAACGATGCCTTCCTTTGCAACCTTGTGAAGATGAGGAGATAACAAAAACTCAATTCAGAAATAACTTTGTTTCTCCAAGCAAGGGGTAGGGTGCAAGGAAAGAGTAGCTTTTCTTCCCAAGCTTACAAAACAGAGAAAAGCAGTGTAGCTTGCTTGCTTGCACTGGTTTCTTTGATTTCTTTTCCAGGGTTAGTAATAATAATAATAATAAAAGTCCCAGGTGAGGAGGAATTTAAAATCTGTTATTAATAAATGTCCGTCCGTCCCGAAGGAAAGATGGATAGTTTATTAGCTTTATGACCATATCAAATGAAAAATAATAATAATGAAAACTCCAAAGTATCTGATAATGGCGCTCTAAAAATAGCCCACTTAAACCCTTAAGAAGCTTACAAACTTAAAATGCAAGCTGTTATTAAAGATCAGAAAACCATAGGAGTTCAGCTGAGTGCTTCAGTTAGAGGTACTGTACTTTGAAGCCGGAATCTAGAATTTAAAAGATGTGGCCTCAGGCCTCTTTCCTTTGTGAGCAGGAGGTTGGACCAGATGACCTCCAAGGTCCCAATCCAACTCTGTTATTCTGTTATCTTATTTGCTTTGGACGCTGCTTCTCAAATGCTATTGTTGTGATGACACACAGCTAATGTATCTGTGGCGCTTTCCAAATCCTCATGGCCAGAGTTTTATGGAATAGCAGAGGGATGAAGAAATGGAAACAACATAGGGTGTAGTCAGAGTAAATGTATTTATTGAACAAATTTATATGGATGCCCAGCGCATACATCAGTGACTCTTGAGTGGTTTATAACATTAAAACCCCACATCATAAAAACCCATAAAACCTCATCCCACTCCTTAGGTGTACTTGGCACTTGCTATCCTATAACCTGCATAAGTTGACTCTCTTTGAGATTTTTCCATACCAATAATTTTCAGTAGGAATCCTTCTGCAATGAATCCAAGACTAGAAACAGCTCTTGGTATCCTTGCCTATTTACTCAGGGAAACCCCACCCTGCCCCTTTCTTTATCCTACCTAGCACAGTACAGGTGGATCTGCCACCTTGTAACTTCCCATAATGCTCTTGATCGGAATAATGTGCAGGGGTTTGGGAAATGAAGGAGAAGAGAGGAACAACTATCTGTTGCTTGACATATTTATATGACGCTGGATGAAGCTTTTATAGTCCAATGGCAGAACAGAAGAGCCAGCAAAGGACTCTGCAATCAGAAATCTTGAAGCCCAAAATAATCTTATCATCATCATCATCATCATCGTCAGCGTCGTCAGCGTCGTCTTTTAATGGCCCCATAATCCCTTGCGAGGTGGAGTCTGGGCAACTGAATAGAACTAGCAGAGTGTTTTAATGGCCAGATGCCCTTCCTATCACCAATACAGAGCAGATATATTCCCAGTGTGTCCAGAGAGAGAAATATTTGCCTCTACCTAGGGGTAATCTTATTATGAGTTTCATTATTTGTTAGATTTCCTGCAGGAGCTCAACAGGGCATACTGTTGATGTACTCAAGCATTTCCCACTAGAACCTATTGGGTGGGGGGAGGGCTAAGCTAAGAAGACTGTCTAGTTGAGTTATAGCGTTGGTTTCCAATAAAGGTAATCTTTGCCGTCAAATAAACGACAAACGAATGGTTCAAGAATGACCAGGGAAGTCTGCAGCTGCATTATTCTGCAGTATTCAGGTGTTGTGGTTAGCTGGCAGCAGGTGTGGATGGTTGAGGAGAGCGAGGACTCAGATGAGGGGGCAGGACCATTAGGGAGTGGACTGCTGCCTTCAGGGATTGTGGGAGCTTGCAGCAGCGATGAGGAGGCTCCCGAGGAGCTCTGTGCGTGCATGCAGAGCTGCTCACAGGAGAGAGCAGCTACATCTGCACAGACGATTCAGGAATAAGGCTGCAAGGTAATGGCCTCTCCTTCAAGAGGATAAAAGCCAGCTGTGAATCGAACATTCTTTGTAGGAAGCAACTATGTTTTGAAACTCAGCCTCGTGGACATTGCAGTATCTTAAGTTGGTATTTGAAGACTCTTGTGTTGTAAAATATTTCTTATCTGTTATTCTTGGCAGCTTCACACAGTTTTGGCGATTTAACTTATCAAAGTTAATTAGTTTATAGCAGCCTTTTAACGGGGGATTCGTAAGAATCGTTAAGAGGTTTCTGTTCCCTTTGGTTTGTGTTTGTTTTATTGGAAAAGGGTTTGGGTCAGAATATCAGGACTGTTCCAAGAGTAGGGAAGGAATAAATCAGATTTTATAATTTTTTGCAATTGCCCTGGGAAGGGATGGGGGTGCAGGGGAGTGGGGAACTTGGTCCCAAACTATTTATTTTACTGTCTTCAATTATAAGCTGCTCTAATTCAAACATGACTGTAAGTGACTTATAAGGTAATACAAACACAATATCATATTAAAACCAATTGCAACCTAAAAGGACTGTTGCTCCCAGGAACGGCCAGCAGCCTCCAAGCTCATGTTTCAGCAAAATTGGGGCATTTGTGACTGAATTGAAAAGTAAAACCTCCTGTTTTGAGCCCAATGAATGGTAGTGGCATCCCAGTTCCTCTAATAGTCTGGTTCCATTGATTCATCTCAGGAAAGTTAACTTTTAGAGTGGGAAGCCCCCCAACTCCTAGAAGAATGAAATATTTTGAGAAATATTAAAAAGGCCAAATATTATATTTCCCTAAAGGAGAAATAAAGAAACATGCTCTTAAAAGCCAGGAAGCAGACTCCATCTCCCTCCCCGCAAGAAACTGAGGAGGCCACCTGTTAAAAATGCAGATTTGGCAATAATCCATTCAAGACAGGATTAAAACCCCAAGGAAGCCAGCAGCTAGGATTAATTATATTTGCTAAAGATTTTCAATCTTTAGACTCGGTGCCGGCCTTCGCGAGACAAACTAATTAAAGTCAAATAACAAAAAGGCACAAAGCAAGCCTCTAAATTACAAAACGGTGTAGAACAAACCGTATTCAGATCCATGTACTCATCAAACCAATTGGTCGGCTGACCCAGGACCGCTGCCGATTCTTCTCCATCACTAAACCATCTTTCCAATCAGTCCCCACGTTTCCAGTGTCTTCTTCCCCAACTTGGAACGGAACCCAGATGGATATTTCTTCCAACGAGGAATCCATAAAACCAAGAAAGACACCCCCCCCAAAAAAAAAACACATGCCTGAGGGGAGATGAAGGCTGGTGGCTAACCCTGTTCTCAACCTTCTTCCAGATTACACCTTTGTTGTTCCAGTCGAGGTGGACTCCAGCGGATCTTATCTCTCGCATGACATTTTGCACAGCGCGAGGAGAAAGAGATCCACCCTGAACTCGAAAGCTTCTTTGCACTACAGGTTTTCAGCATTTGGACAGGAACTGCATCTCGAGCTGAAGCCCTCCAACTTTCTGAGCCAGAACGTGACTATCCAGGTGCTTGGGAAAGATGGCATTGAAGATTCTCAGGTTCGTGATATTGAACAGTGTTTCTATCAGGGATTTATAAGGAACTACAGTTCTTCTTCCGTTGCCATATCCACGTGCACAGGTTTGGTAAGTGTTATGTGTTGTTGCTTGGTTTTCAGACTGTTCCCCTTCTGCTACACTTGTTCTCTCCTGTTGGCTTTAGGCTGATTTAAAGTTGCCTGCAACTGCCCGCAACTGTTGCTTCATACGTATGCTGCTAAGTCCCAAAGATGTTTTTCCAAAAGGCAACTGGATTTTTTTCCCTTTGAAAATGTTTCGCTACTCATCCAAGAAGCTTCTTCAGTTCTAATTCAAAGAAAACAAACAAACGAGAAAGTCCAAGGAATTTGGAGAAGCACCCTTGGGACATCCATGACCTGAATAATTGACAATCTCCATAAGAGAGAGGGGTTGATGGGTATGTGCAGAAGATGGGCTGACACAAAAAAATCCCTAGAGCCCATCTGGAGTGCACATCCTGTATGATGATTGCTTGATCTGACTTCTGTGCTTTGCTGTTTAAGTAGCTTCTAGCCAAAACATTAACATTCGCAGACATATGGATGCAGACAAGGAATTCTATGCAACCGTCCATGGATGACAGATGCATATCATGCACAGTGCCAGAGAAGTCTGCTTGACCCCTTAGCAGGGTCCTTCCTTCAGGACTCTGGGATGAGTTTATTCTGGGCAAGTCTATATAATCTCATTCAGAAGCCAATTAAGTTCTATCTTGTGACATGAAGGCCTTCAGTCTGAGATTGTGCATCATGCTAAATCATCATGTGGTTGGTACATTTCAGCTTTAGCAAGATGGGTGAATCCTTCTGTGGTGTTCATAACCCATGCTTTTTATAGCTCGGTGGATTGTTGTAAACTCGACAAATTGTGATCCGTTGGTAGGCTATGTTCAAGCAAGTGCAATGTGGGAAGCCAATCCACTGTCAAAATTCTCCAAACAACTGCTACTTATGAGATCTTCTTTTTGGCACGTTTATCAAAATCTTGCAACATTTGCCTCCACCCCACCTCACCCTTATTTTCTCAGCATTCAGCAAGAGTTTTAGATAGAGATGATATCATTGCATGAGAAACAAAGATTCTCCAAATGGATTCTTGAGCGGTGGGAACACTTGGAGGACAGATGTTCATTTATGGGAATTCCTTTTCTGCATCAAATATATTGGATGTATGTTTGACACAGTGATGGGCAACACTTTACTAAAATGTCAGGCTTATGTACTGTAGATATTACCTTCTCAGTTTTATGACTCATTTACCTACATGGACACTTGCGGAGTGAATTCCAAATATTGTAGTAAAAAAAAAACAAGACTTCCAAAGGCTATCCTCAGATTCAGAGGACTGGATCTCTGTTCCATAGAAAAGCCCATCATGTATTTTATTATGCATTCTTTGAAATCTGGGCATGGTGGAATTTCATTGATGTATTTTCACTTGCTGTACAACTGAAATGTAGGGATGCATAGATGTAAGTATGCATACATGATCATACAACTTTTTTTTTAGTTGAGGGTAGCAGTGGGACATGTTGGAAGGGGCATGTTTCAAAAAGTGACAAAAAGCAACAAAAGTTGACAAAATTAAATCTAAACATAATTCAATCTGATGAAGGTCTGTATATTTAATACTTCATTTTTTAAATTTCTGTGCAATTTAATCCTGCAACTCAGTGGCATTTTTTGGAGAATTTCTGTAATTGCACTCCAAGCTTTGGGTTGGTGCATGATACACCAATCCACAATCTAGTCCATTTTAGCTGACTGCTAAAAATTAGGATTGGAACTGATTAGTTCATAGACAGGGATGATCAGGCAATCTCAGGACTATAGGTTAGGTTGAAAAATTGGGGGAAAAAAACAGAACAAAGTGATGGAATAATGTGACCTGGAATCACAGGAAGGAAGGGCTCCTTCCTAGAGAGCAAAGAGACAGTGAATCTTGGAATATCTGTTGAGCAGGAAGAGAGCAAAGATGTATCCTCCCTAGCAATTCACCGAGTTTATCTATAATTTTGCAGATCACTGCTTTAGTTTGCCAAGACTCTGTAGGTAAACAACAATAAAGAGACTACTCAGAGGTAAATCCACATGCCATTCTTGGTTCTTTGGACCTGACAAATACTTTGTATTGTTGCCAAGAAAATGTCATAATTTGTTTGCATGAAATCATCAGAAACTAACCTTGGTTTAAGGGAGGATTATCTTTATCTAGCCTTCAGAAATTCCCTCTTTAAAGGAAAGTCTACAGTTGATTGGGTTAAACTATAAGTTCACCTTGAAATACTTGCAGTGGAATAAGGGTATCTACTGTGCTAGAGGAGATCTCTTTGAACTCCACAACCATCAGGCTGTAAAAAGCTCTTTGGGTATTGAATTGCTACTGTAGTTGTTCCAATAAAATCCCATGAGGTGAAAACAGCAGAAAATATAAGTGGCAAGGTAAAGCAATGTAATAAACTACTCAGAAGTACCTGTATGAACTCTCTAAGGAGGCCTTCAATATGGGCTAAAAAATTAGATGACCACTAGGTGGCAACAAAGGATTTCAATCCCACTTTGCTGCCCTCTATTGGCATTGGAGAGCAGATTGGTGTAGTAATTAAGGCACCAGGCTAGAAACCAGAAATCTATGAGTTCTAGTTCTGCTTTAGATACAAAGCTAGCTGGGCAACCTTGAGCTAGTCACTTTCTCTCAGTGGAGGCAAAGAGCCAATAATAAACCACTTCTGTAAAACCTGCCAAGAAAACCTCAGGGTCTTGCCTAGGCGGTCTCTGCGAATTGGACAAGATTGAATGGAAAGAAAAGAAATATGGTGGCTTAGATTTTTGGTGTATACTTGGTGATCGTTGCTGCAAGATATTGTCAATGATTCTTGGATGAGGAAACCAGCTTAGTTTTGTGGTAGATAACATCTTGGCACTTAGGCCTTAGGTTCAATTTTTGAACATCTGTAGGTGCAAGGTTTTTTGACTTGTATGCATCCAGTCAGTCATTGCTTAGTAACCAAATGGAATGTACCTTGATGTGATTTGTGAAGCCAACTCTAGTATCAATGTGATGCTTGTAAATGCCACTATCCGTACCTCCTCCCTTTTCCACAATTAGGTTGCCCTTCTTCTATTCATTTTAGCCCTGGCAATTAAACAAACAATTGCATTGCTTTACATGGTTGGTAGCGCTAATCATCCCATTGTTCCTTTCGTTAGCAGGAGCTTCCCTACAATGCAAGTGCAGTGGCCTATTCTTTTAAACCCGAAGCATCACATTGGGATTTGGAAGCCATGGCATTTTAATGGACAGCAGGGATCCTTTCATCTTGCTTGCTTTGGAGTGCATGTGTGAGCAGTTCAGAAAAACCAGGCTCTCAGCTGCTGCTTTGCTGCTCTTGCCTATGTAGAAAATGTATTGGGAGAGACCAAAGACAAAACACATTGATTATCACTAGAAACGAAGAATAAAGGAATTGCAGCTTTCTTGATATCCTACTTATGAGGCCAAGGATACAACATCTGTTGAGGACAGAGTTCTATTTGACCAACAGACAAAAGTTCAGAGGTCAACTCAAAAAGGTTTTAAGGGAACAGCTGGCCAATGAGCTTAATATGCTTCTGAAGTTGACATTTTTAATCTGGAATTGGCATCAGAGGAGCTTCTGCATCCTGTCCCTAGACAGTTGTGGGTCATAAGTTGCCAAAGTGTGGTTCTATAGCTCCCCAGTGAGAGAAAGAGATCATTCTTGCTAGAGAATTGTTTGTTTTCCAGGGCATTAGGAATGTATGATTTAGGACCAAAGGTTACCTACTTTTACTATAGACATTGGTCAACTGGTTACTAATCCATGGAGCAAAATTAGTCATATTTTATCTTGGGTCTTTCCAGTGGCCAGTCATGATGATACAATGATGGGTCTGGCTGATCTTTTTAACCTAGATCTTGGGGGTTGAGGGTATCTTAAGGAAAAACCAACCTTAGTGTTTGATTATATGACAGGAGGTCTATATGAAACAGAATCTTATGCATTTTACAATACATCATTGTATGATAGCCCAATAAAACTGGAACTAGATGCATCAGCTGGTTTCACTAATGTTGTTCATCTGTGATACTGTACTAAGCTCTAGTTTCACTGCAGGTAGCACTTTCATCCATCATGTGTAGTATGGAGTTGTTTTATCTTTTCCTGTCTCAACTATGCAATGGTCCTGGTTGGCTTCAGTTACACAGTGAGTGCCTTGGAACTTCCAAACTAAGTTCAAATTTATTACCAGGTGGACTTCCTAAAGAAGAGCATATCTTTGATTTGGGATTACTCTTAAGGGATGAGATGGATTTTTTTGAGAAGGTCAGATAGCTTCCAGAACTGCAATTAAGGAAATATTAAGCAAAGCTTTCAATTTAGTAAACCAACAACCCTTTAAATAATACATGCAAAAATAATATATATATTTATTTGCTTTACACATGTACATATATACCGTATACACACACACACATTTATTTGCCAATCAATGATATTTGTCTGGTCCTGGGATCATTAGCTGCCTGGGTGAATAAGGGTATCTTCAGTTATTACCTAAAAGCAAATGTTACAAGTGGACATTGGTGATTCCTTCAAAAGAAAATTCCTCATGCCATCAAGAAAGACCACTTAACAAAGATGACAATATAGCCACTAGAAAATATGGTCTTGGGAAACTTCAAGAGTTTAGGCTGAGAAATCTGCATTTATTTAATTGGTCAGCAATATCTTAGCTTCTCTTTTGGGGGAGTTTTGTTGCCTCATTACTCCCCTGCTACAGATCTAGTCCAAGGCTGCTGTGTCAACATAATGAAAGTCCTTAGTTAACTAGCAGCCTGGTGTGTGTGCAAATGAAGTAACAATTGTATAGATATGACCTAGTTAGAGAATTCTTGGGTAAGAAATTTGCTGATTATATTATTGTCTGCCTTTCAGTGTGGAAAAGGGGCCTTGCTTCTTTCTTGCCAAATTCTTCCTTGGCAGGCCTACTGTAGGTTTGAAGGGCACTGCAGATTATCCTGACCTTGGTTTGACTAGCTCTGCT